TTTCTGTGCTACTTCATAACTTCAATGAATATGTCTTTTGCGATGGTCTTAGGTGACCTATGTGAAAGGGTCGTTCGACCCACACAAAAAAAAAAAGATCGTGACCCACAGGTTAAGAACCGCTGCTCTGTTTGTTTGTTTGTTGTAGTATCCAGAAGCCATGAGTTCTTAACCCTTAGGCTCGGTATTATGGATATCGCAACCTTTCGGCCTTGATTCCATTGTAAATACCGTAAATCTGAGAGAATTGTGGCTTTTCTGCCTACCCCGGGAGTGAACCCGGACCCCAAGGAGTCCGTCACCCGGTCTCCGCGTAATCCGGTTTCGCCAACTACGCTAGAGAGCCGGGCGAACCGCTGCTATAAAGGATGCGCAAGTAACCAACTGTGACCGTTTCTATCACATCCTTACCCGCGTAGAACCGCTGGTTACATCTGGTTGATTTAGCTGTTAGTTAGTCTTTCCTTTTGAGCCCATGGCGACGCATAGGGCAGAGTTCATAGCTCTCCATGTCTGGCGGTTCGTTGCCACCTGATTTAGGTCTTGGATATTTATTATGCCCATAGTTGAGCCTTCCTTGGTGATGGTTCTACGCAGTGTCTCTCTTGGTCTTCCCCGTTTTCTTTCCTCTCCCTGTTTCCATTCTAGGGCTTGAAACTGTTACTGGATCCCTAATTTCAACCTGTTTGGAGGTTGATCCGGGTATCTGGGATCTGCCTTATTGGATCTGCCGTCCAGACTAAGATTTGTTAATCTCAGTATAGTATGGTAAACCTTTAGGTAGCAGCTAGGAGGGGGCAATCTGATTGATAAATCGATAGCTGCTCATTGCGAGTCAACGGCTTAGAAATCATTGAGCTGGTTTTCCAGTTCTAACGGGGCAAAGGTGAATTTCTTCATAGGTCTGTTGAGAAAATGGCGGTTGTTGTGGCTTTCTGACATTAGCATGTGAGTGGCTTCTTGGGAGAGATTGGGGCTTCAGCACATCATTTCATAAAGATGGCAGAGGCCTTCATTGTCGAGACGAGAAATGTGTGTGTGTGTGTGTGTGTGTTGAAACTCTAGGCATTTGTTGTTTAAATACTTTGTAAAGTGTTTTTTCACCCTATGCTAAGATAGATAGATAAATTGAGAGAGAGAGAGAGAGAGAGAGAGAAATTGAGAGAGAGAGAGAGACTGAGATGGAGAGAGATAGAGAGATAGAGAAGGATAGCGAGATGTATATAGAGAGATAGAAAAGGGAGAGACAAAGAGACAGAGAGAGATAAAGTGAGATAGGGAGTAAAAGAGAGAGAGAAAGATATATAAAAAGATATATATATATATATATATATATATATATATATATATATATATATATATATATATATGTATATATATATATATATATATATGTATATATATATATATATATATATATATATATATATATATAGAGAGAGAGAGAGAGAGAGAGAGAAATAGAGAGATAAAGAGAGACACATAGATATAAAAAGAGCTATTTGGGGGAAATAGATGTGAATATATATCGAGAGATAGAGAGAGATAGAGAGGGATAGAGAGAGATAGAGAGATAGAGAAATAGAGGGACAGAAAGAGATAGAGAGAGGCAGATAGAGATAGAGAGACAGCGAGGTAGAGAAGGATATAGAGCGAAATAGAGAGACACAGAGATAGAGAGAGAAGAGAGAGAGAGAGAGAGAGAGAGAGAGAGAGAGAGAGAGAGAGAGAGAGAGAAAGAGAGAGAGAAAGAGAAAAGAGACAGGGAGAGAGAGAAATAAATTCTATGTACTATAAGTTGTAAACCATTGATAAGCATGGATTACCACAGATATAATGTTGCGTCTGTACTGACTGTGACAAACCTATGTTAAGAGTTGCAATCAAGTACTGTATCAGAACACGGTAAACCACATATTTGTTTCTTTTTTTTTCAAATTTCCCTGTACTGAGAAACGTGATAGACGGAACTTGAATAATATAGTATCGCATTTCAGTAAACAGTATTAGGATCTGGTGCGTGTAAAATTTAAAAACGCATCCGTCGCACGTATATATGTATATGTATATATAAATATTTACACATATACATATGTATACATGGATAACGAAACTATAATTTTTTTTTTAAAGTTACGCAAATTCATATTAATTCTATTATCCAGTAAAAGGTTCTAAGTTACAGCCTCTACATTTGTAGTAAAAAAGGAGAATTTGTTTTAGGCACCTAGAGATTGTGAGGTAAACATACACACACACAAACACACACACACACACACACACACATATATATATATATATATATATATATATATATATATATATATATATATATATATATATATATATATATATATATATATATGTGAGTGTGTGTGTGTGTGTGTAATCTTAGAAACATTCATTCTTGTGCCAGATACATTTATTTATTCACAGATTTATTCATAACGTACAGATCTATGTGCTTTGTTGTATCCCAAATGGCTGGGTCTCTCACCGCAGAACGGCTACTTCCCTGCCATCAGCGTGACACAAAGCACGACCTCCATAGCTCAGGTGATCATCACACGGATCTAAGTGAAAATTCCACTCGTGAACCGAACGACGCAGTCGTGAAAACAATCCTCGACTCTGAGAGCCGGAAACAAAGGGCTTAACCCAACTTCGCCACTTAAAACAATAATTAAAAAAAAAAAAAAAAAAAAACTTTTGCATCTCCTGTATTTCAGAATGAAAGACTGAAATTGAGTAACTCGAAGAGCTACTTTTCGGAGACAAATTTAAGATGAGCAGATCCGAGACGATGCCCTGTTCATCCGTGTGAAACAGGTTTACTGAGACATCCACATGTGCCACCGTAAATTTAGTCGCACAAGTCGGGCTTTGAAACCTAAAACATCTTTTGCAAACTATAGAGTCGATTCTATGGCTGGCATAAAACGCGGCAGGTAGGTACAGTAGAAGTAAATGGCTCTTTACCACAAATTGAGGCTTACTGGGCATGTAGGGCTAGTCCTATATTTTATATACTCATGGCACTCGGTGCCAATTAGTCCATGAATTTATTTGGCACCAATTCAAGGCTGGGGCCAAAGACATAGAAAAAAAATGCACGGGTACCTTCAGTTTTGAACACATAACCTTCGGGTATAGATAAGCCTAACTCAAAATTATGTGCAATGAATCGTAAAGTCGACTTGTATACCAGGTAGATTTGTACGCCGTAATTTATGATAACTTGCCGTCCATTTTGGGTAATGTCTTTTGTAAATAAATTTTTTTTAAAGTCACTGAATTCTTACGTTATTTTTGCCCATATCCGCTGTTTTACCGATGTTGTTTCTTGTTTTTTTTCCAGGTGAAAGACGCACAGGGCAAACACCAGCCATCTATTGTGAAGAACGGAGGATATTGCTAGTTGTGACAACAGGATCATACAGCTGACAGCCGTTGCCTGCACCTTCAGAAAAATAAACACAAAGCAGGACTATCTGACAATATTGAAAAGGAAATCAGATAGCTATAGAAAAGATAATTGTAACGGATTTTGCACTTTTAGTTATTTGTGTGGTAGTGTATCATATACTTCGCAATTCAATCTGCAATGAATGGTAGGGTTGATATCCTTTTAAGCTTGGAAGAACGTTTACGAAGAATACATAAACATCTTTGAGAAGTGTTCAGCATTGATTTGGTGACTGAACTGGCAAAAAATTAAAAGGGGGGAAAAAAAACCCAACCTACGATTAATGAACCTTTCTTCGTCATTTCTGCTGTTTGTTAAATACTTATGCAACAAGTTTGTGGATCTGCCGACAGTGTTGTGCTCCCTTGCTTTAAGACAAAAACATCAGCTGAAATTTGTACACTAGCACTGACTCGGTCACAAATGATGGCAACAATATATTTACGTCGTCGGCGGGAACACAGGCGATTGTGTACTCATCTGGAACCTGAACTGTCTAAGAAAACCAGCCAGTGTATCAACTGCTGATTTATCACAATCTTTAGCTCAAACTGAAGTTCTAACCTAAAACACTGTTGTTGATTCGGCCTGTTTTGTTTTACTTTGAGGTACAAATGCTCCAGAAGTAGTCTTAGTACTTATTGTTACCCCTTTGAAAATGTATTGATCAAAGAACCATTAATTTAACGCGGCACCAGAATTTTACAGTTGTAACAAAGGCATTCTAAAAAGAACACAGTTCTACGGATCATTTTGACCATACATCAGATATCAGTGTTTGCCAAATCAGTATTAGACATTTAACTTTTCCTCAGAGACTGGTTTTAAAAGGTCTAAAGTGCAGATCAGAAGTAAACATAATCGTATTTTTGGACTTTACCAACAATTCAGAGATTATAAGTTAATCAAGCACCTGTCTGCGATAGAAAGTAGTAAGAACAGTGCGCTGTCTGTGATATAAAGCAGTAAAAACAGTATGCTGTCTGCATAAACATCCAGGAATGTTTGATGAGTTGCATGGTAAAGAAAGCAGGAGTTTAAACCACTGAGCATCCTACAAATTACTGAGCATTTTGTATAAAAAAGAACCAGACACTACAGTATATAGCTTGTGTATAAGTGCTTCTAGACCAATGCTTTAATTTCAGCTGTGTTTGAGTGCCTGTAGTACAACATGCTCTAACTCCAGCCGTGTTTAAGTACTTGTAGAACAATGCGCTGTAATCCCAGCTTTCGGTAATCAAGTTCTGGGTCAGTATCAGGACAACACTGACTATCCTGACATACGCTTAGGTCAACCCTCCCTACTATTCCCTTGCAACCCAACCCTTCTGGTACCAAGGATCAAGTAATTTCTTCCCCACTTTCTTATCGGACATCAGAGAGGTCATCTTTCCCAGCTTGTGTTAGTGAGTGGTGTCTGGACAGCCACTTGATCGGCGCAGAAGTTGTAACTTATTTACTAGCGCGGAGCCGTTTTGGGAACTAACGAAAAACATTGTGTAGGTACTCCGAACAAAACAGCTAAATCAAAATGAAGGATTTTTGTGAAACGATCGCAATGAACGATTTGAGTTTGACATTTTCTGATGACATTCTTAGTCCGTTTTCGGATCAAAAGACTTTGAGTGAGCTAAACGACTCACCTGACTTCTGCGATGATTTTGGGTTCGATCCTTCTATTACATTGTTCAACTTTAACGACGATGTTATTATGAATGACTATCTGTTCTCACGTGACACTGGCTTTGGTTGTGGTGATCAAAATGATGGACAAAACTTCGACACAGTCGTTCTGAATTCATTGAAAAAGGAGTCCTCTGAATTAAAAGATTTCGATTCTTTTTTCTCATGCCAAGTGGATAGTGACACTGACAGCAGAAAACGTCGACCGCTGCCTCATGTTGAAGAGGCGTTTGGGTATAAAATCACCAAAAACAAAAATATTAAAAATGGCTCCTGTGGAAGCAGGTACGGTGTTAATACACATTTTCCTCCTGAAATAAATACATCTTGCTCTGCGACAAACAATGTAAACTGTTTATGTGATCAAACATTTGAACACGGTAATTGTCTTCATTACGATAGAAGTAGTACAAATAGTAGTTGTTCTGGTCTAAGTGAATTTAGTAATAGTGAGCCCAGTGACTGGGAATCGCCCAAAGACAGCAATAAAGATATGGTTGTGTTAGGTGTAGATATTTCCAATCTGATGCATGACTACGCAATGAAATCCTTGCCAGACGAAGCGTCTTGTGCCATTGTCACCAAACAAAGATCCGTTAGTTCTAGAAACAGCATCTATGCACACGAAACTTTTCAATATTTGTCAAATCCAGGAGCTCAACAGCCATGTTTTTACGCGTCTTCGTCATCTACACCAGCATCTTTACTGTCATCCTCAAGTCACTACATACCAGCTGGCACCTCTCTGCTTCGTAAGTCAAATGTCTTGGTTAACAGAACCAAAGTCAACTCCAACAATAAGTTGCCCCACGGGGTCGGTCCTCGTATGACCTCAACTGGCATTGACCCTATGCTCAGCACCTACCAAATCCAAGGCCATCCGCAATCGCCGTCCAGCAGTCCTTGCTCTTTAGACAGTTCAGGAAGCTATTCAAGTTCATCGTCTTCATCCCCTTCTTCGGCCTCATCACCAAGCATATCAGGCCAAGGCAGCAAGACGGAGGAGAAGATCTACCCATGCACCTACAATGACTGTAACAAGGTCTACAGCAAAAGCTCTCATTTGAAATCCCACTTACGAAGACATACGGGAGAGAAACCCTTTCACTGTTCATGGCCTGACTGCGGCTGGAAGTTCTCCAGATCGGATGAACTCGCTCGCCACAAGCGGTCTCATTCAGGGGTCAAACCCTATAAATGTGATATCTGCACTAAATGTTTTAGTCGGTCCGACCATTTGGCCAAACACAGGAAGGTTCATAGAAAAAATAGATAGTAAAGAAAAGGACCCTTTTCCACGTCTTCAGGCGTATTGGGTATGCAGGGCTAGATCTAAATTTTATAGACCCATCCACACTTGGGGGGTGATATGGTCAGCATCACGCCGGCCGCCTTTACTTCTCATGGCTCACCGTGTACCCACTCAAGGCTGGGTCGACCTGAAAGTCAACGTCATTTTGGAAGACAGTCCGGCTCCGTCAGGACATTTTAATCCGCAGGCAAGCGTCTAGGCGCTACAACACGGCGACTCCCTAGGGGGAAAAATTTATTTAAAAAAATGTATTTTCACATACCAAATAATTATAAATCATACAGTGTGTTATTTGTTTAACGTTGTTTCCACAGAAGCTAATCCTGTCGCACTATGTTAGCAAGCACAGAAAGATGTTCGAAAAAACCCAAAACCAGAAGTTTGGCTTTTCTACACAAGGACATGCAAAGCCAGTCATATCTAACCAAGGCAGTACCTTATCTTATTAACATTGTTGACTTTACATCACGCGATCCTCATCCATAGCGGATTTTAAGGTCACCAGGGTTGACAAGTACCTGGTGGAGCCAGTATGAGTGCATTATCTGACTATTGTTTTTATAACAGAATTGAATTTTTACCCGTCAAGGTCAGTGGGTATCTTGGTAGTAGTAATACTAGTAGTAAAAGTAGTAGTAGTAGTAGTAGTAGCAGTAGTAGTAGTAGTAGTAGTAGTAGTACTAGTAGTAGTACTAGTAGTAGTACTAGTAGTAGTACTAGTAGTAGTACTAGTAGTAGTAGTAGTAGTAGTAGTAGTAGTAGTAGTAGTAGTAGTAGTACTAGTAGTAGTAGTAGTAGTACTAGTAGTAGTAGTAGTAGTACTAGTAGTAGTAGTAGTAGTACTAGTAGTAGTAGTAGTAGTAGTAGTAGTAGTAGTAGTAGTAGTAGTAGTAGTAGTAGTACTAGTAGTAGTACTAGTAGTAGTACTAGTAGTAGTACTAGTAGTAGTACTAGTAGTAGTACTAGTAGTAGTACTAGTAGTAGTAGTAGTAGTAGTAGTAGTAGTAGTAGTAGTAGTAGTAGTAGTAGTAGTAGTAGTAGTAGTAGTAGTAGTAGTAGTAGTACTACTAGTAGTAGTAGTACTACTAGTAGTAGTAGTAGTAGTAGTAGTAGTAGTAGTAGTACTAGTAGTAGTAGTAGTACTAGTAGTAGTAGTAGTACTAGTAGTAGTAGTAGTACTAGTAGTAGTAGTAGTACTAGTAGTAGTAGTAGTACTAGTAGTAGTAGTAGTACTAGTAGTAGTAGTAGTACTAGTAGTAGTAGTAGTAGTAGTAGTAGTAGTAGTAGTAGTAGTAGTAGTAGTAGTACTACTAGTAGTAGTAGTAGTAGTAGTAGTACTAGTAGTACTAGTAGTAGTAGTAGTAGTAGTAGTAGTAGTAGTAGTAGTAGTAGTAGTAGTAGTACTAGTAGTAGTAGTAGTAGTAGTAGTAGTAGTAGTAGTACTAGTAGTAGTACTAGTAGTAGTAGTAGTAGTAGTAGTAGTAGTAGTAGTAGTAGTAGTAGTAGTAGTAGTAGTAGTAGTAGTAGTAGTAGTAGTAGTAGTAGTAGTAGTAGTAGTAGTAGTAGTAGTAGTAGTAGTAGTAGTAGTAGTAGTAGTAGTAGTAGTAGTAGTAGTAGTAGTAGTAGTAGTAATAATAGTAGTAATAGTAGTAGTAGTAGTAGTAGTAGTAGTAGTAGTAGTACTACTAGTAGTAGTACTAGTAGTAGTAGTACTACTAGTAGTAGTAATAGTATTAGTAGTAGTAGTAGTAGTAGTAGTAGTAGTAGTAGTAGTAGTAGTAGTAGTAGTAGTAGTAGTAGTAGTAGTAGTAGTAGTAGTAGTAGTAGTAGTAGTACTAGGTAAAGGTAAAGTCGGGAGATGTAAACCAGCCTTATTGCACACGGTTATAAACCATAAGTGCTCTGCCACCATTACGGACAGCTGATAAGAAACTGTCTGCCTGTGTCGCTGTCCGCACGTAACACCGTAGCTACAGCAACGTTCCTCCATTTACCCTAACTCCAGAACCCATTTCCTAGAGGGTTGGTGAGCCCCAGGAACAGCCCGGTTTCGAACACCGACCGTGGGCTGCAGCGAGTCGCAGCTGGATTTGAAAGCGAGTCTCGAATCGGCTGCGCTAACGCGGCCCCTGTATTATTAGTAGTTGTTATTATTGTAGAAGTAGTAGTAGCAACAGCAGAAGTAGCTAGCGATAGTAACCGTAGCAGCAGTAGCAGTAGTTAAAAAATAAGGTTGAAACCACCTCTGTTATTGTTGGGATATATAGATTGTTTTTCTATTTCAGTATTGGATATTTATTCTTGCAATTAGTTTTGGTAATTACCTGGGTAGTAATTGGTCAAGTCGTTACAGGTGACTTGATGATTACTCTTTTGGAAGTGGAATGGGACTGCTTGAGTCGCAAATGAGTCAAACCTAGAGGCAGAATTTCAAGGGAAAAAAATCAGTCAGGTAGTTGGTTACTTTTATATCATAGGCATATCACCACAGTCCGGGGGAGACTGATGCAGCGGGGAGTGACGAGAGGTTCTGGTAGATGCTCGAGGCTCAGAGGATAGGCAAGAAGGACGTTTAATCAGAATGCTACTAGCACCACTGGTGTCGGAGCTCTTTACTGGCTGCTGAAGATGGGGATGAAGTGTTTATGGGAATGCCTCGAGTGCTGTGATGTCAGTTCTTGAATCAACTCCAACTCAACTCATAAGCCTATGTAACTGTCAACATATACACAATGCTGCGGGTAATTGTAAATGAAGAGTGGGACTTCCTACACGCAGCGAACGAAACAATTAACCAACAGTTATTTATACTTAACTCTTCAATGATTAATTATGTGAGTCATGTTTTTGTTTAAGAATGGCTTAGTGCCATGTACAGACTTACGATACAATATACAGAATTTGAATTCGCCATTGTTTCGACACCATACCAGATTATATATGTGCGGCGCCCGTGGCTTAGGCGTTGCGAGTTGATTCGTAATTTCAACATACCGCGATCGAATCCCACTGCTGGCTGCGTGGATTTTTATCGTGGTATGGGGCGTCGCAGGACTGAAATGGGTACCAAGATGTATGTCATGGGGAAGTAAAGACTGCCGGCGTAATGCTGACTACATTACCCAGCTTGTGCTGATTTGTCTATAAAATATGGGCGCTCTTCCCATATGCCCAATGCGCCTAAAGATGTGAAGAGGAATGTTTACTTTTTATTACTTACTTGTGTGTGTGTGTGTATATATATATATATATATATATATATATATATATATATATACACACACACACACACACTATATATATATATATATATATATATATATATATATATATATATATATATATATATATATATATATATATATATATACACACACACACACAAGCAGACAATCGAAAGGTCGTGGGTTCGCTTTCTGGCGGAGCAGGATTTTTTTCGAAAATGACCTCGACTCTGAGGTCGACCCAGGCTTGAGTGGGTACCTGGTGCAGTCCCGCGAAGTAAAGACGGCCGGCGTGATGCTGACTACATCACTCATCTTGTGCCGTTTGGTCTGTAAAAATATAGGTCTGGTCCTATATACCCTAAACGCCTAAAGGGGTGGAAAAGGGATCTTTACGATTTTTTTACAAGCAGACATACAATACTTAGGACCTACTGTTCTGCTGTGGTAGTATGGGAGCAGAAGGAGTAGATAAGTGCTTATAGTTGTCTGCCCTTGGTTCAAACAGACCTGAATCATCCCACGATTTTAACTGCTTGAATTATTACCCAGAGAAATTATCAATCACCCCCTCCCCCCCCACACACACACCCCATTTCCTCTTCCAAGTTCTAGGGCACTGAATTGGATGTCTAAACTTCTCTGATAAATAATTCGAAGTACCCGCGACCACGTTGCTCGCTCAGGTTATAAATCCCGCTGTAGTTGGATTTTAAAACGTATCAGAGGACAAGTCCATTGTTAAGACAATTTCCAAACAACGAAATGTATAAAATGTACGATATAAGTTCGCCTTGTAGTCATGTGTGTAGATACTCACCTGTTGTAAGGATTTCATGCGCTGTACTGAGATCATCCTTGTGTGAACTAAAGACTAATGCACTTGTGGAGCTATCGATGTGCAACGAAATTAATCCATTATCAACTCAACAATGGTCTACTGGTTGCTTCTAGTGTCTCTTCGACCATTTACTGTGAGAAGAATGCGATTCATCTTTGGCAGTTTACTGTGAGAAGAACAGGATGCATCTTTGACTATTTACTGTGAGAAGAATGTGGTGCATCTTTGATTTTTTTCTGTGAGAAGAATGCGATGTATCTTTGACCGTTTATTGTGAGAAGAATGGGATTCATCTTTGACCGTTTACTGTGAGAAGAACGCGATGCATCTTTGACCGTTTACTGCGAGAAGAATGCAGTGCGTCTTTGACCGTTTACTGTGAGAAGAATGGAATGCATCTTTGACCATTTACTGTAAGAAGAACGCGATGCATCTATGACCCTTTACTGTGAGAAGAATTAACCTCGGAATTGTTGATGACAACAGACAGATTCCTGGAAATTTGGACGATTATTTGGATTTTGTGTTTCATGAGAGCAGTCCAGATATAAACATTTGAACTGCCAAAGTTTAATTTTTTTTTAAAACAAAAATGTATTCAGTTTGTATTCTTCTATTTATAATACTCATTAGCGTAAATTGTTGTGACCCTGTGCCAATCAGTTAGTGTTTTCTACACACAGAGAGGTAGACATTTCCCAAGGAAGGACTATAACTGTAGATATTTATTACACCACTGCTGTCTTGTATCACTGACTTCTAAAATTGATTGAATAACCATTTGTATTTCATTTCATATTTAACAGACTCCGTTTGGTGGTGCTTTATTAATATCCTATCCCAGAACCGGTGAAATCCACATGTCATGGGGCAGTCTAATATTTCAGGGGGTGGTAGAT